GTCGGCTGGCAGCGGCGACAGGCTGACATGGAATCTCATCCTGGATCTAACTGACCAAGTATAAAGCCCCAGGGAAACGCCAATCCCGGCTCATCCGGGTGCCCGGCCGCAGAGCACCGGGGCCAAAGCTGGGCGGTGCATGCGCACTGGCGCATCCTCAGGGGTGCCTGACCGCAGTCAGGCATCCATCCCTGACATCCCCCCCACTGTCACTGCTAGAAACTTCACAGGATGTGCAGCAGGCCGAATAATGGCCCCCAAAGATGCCCACATCCCAGTCCCCGGACGTGTGAATATGCTACCTCACGGGGCAAAGTGGGCTTGGCAGGGGGTGACGAAGATGAAGGACCTGGCACTGGGAGACCGTCCCGGATTATCCAGGTGGACCCCATGTAATCACAGGAGTCCTCACAAGGCAGAACGCTCCCGGCGGTGGCCCGGGAGAAAACCGCGGGCAGAAGGAGGGTCAGAGCGATGAGACGGTGTTGGTTCTGAAGGTGGAGGAAGGGACATACACCGAGCAATGGGGGCGGCGTCTCGGAGCTGGGAAAGGCAAGGCAACAGAGCCACCCCTGGGGCGTCCGGGAGGAACACGGCGCGCCCTGCCGACACCCTGATCACAGTTCAGTGAGCGCGACCCTCTCACCTACCCCGCTGGAACACATCGCGCTGTTTCGAAACAGCAGATTTGGAGCAACTGGCGACAGCAGCGATAGCAAACGCATCCAAGAGGCTCCCAATTTTAATGCCAAACAAGCTGCCATTTTATTCTGATCCAAACCCAAGAGCATGGGGTCTAAAAAAAGAAAAAGCACCCTTCCCCCCCCCCTTTTTTTCCTAGAAAATTCAATCTTTAGGGAAAGAAACGGAGGCAGGTTTTAGGAGAGAGCAGACCTGGGGAGTGACAGAGGGTGACAGAGAAAGGGGCGCATGGAAGGTGTCAGTTCTGAGATGTTTTATTATCTTTAAGCCCAGAGTGGGGGACAGAGGTGCCCATTAATGCTCGTCTGTAACTGTCTGCAGTATTTCACGGGGTCCCTGTGGGGGCTGGAGGCAGTGAGAGTCACTCTCCCGGGGAATCAGATGCCCACACTTCTACTTCATTGGGGTGCTTCCTGAGCTCCCCCTTCTGCTACCAAGGGACTCTGCACAAGCAGACACCCGCTGCTCCTCGGTTCTGTTTCCAGAACACCGAGGCTCTCCTGGGCTGCCCTGCTTTACCCTGAAGCAGTGGGGAGGATGAAACCAGGGTCCCAGCCCAGCTCTGCCACCCACCCGCACTCCCTCCAGCCTCTGCAAAGTGCGGGGCTCCAGGTGGCTTATTTTCCATTTCTGTTCCAGCTCTAAACATTCTGTGCATCCATCCTTAGTGGGCTATGCTCAGATACCTAACTAGGTTTCTGCGGTGGACACAAATTGAATTTACACTAACAAGAGGCTTGTCTTCAAGAATGGGAAACTCTACCCTGTTTCAATGATGTCGAAACAAGTCAACCAGGATTTACAGAAAAGGAAGGTACTGTCACACTGACCTCCCCCTCCAAAGAAACAGGCCAATCAAGTAATGATTGTTTTTGGGTCTTTTTGCTATTAGCCTACATCAGTCTTTGGAAACCTATTCATTAACTCGTTTAATTCAACGGCTCTTTCAATAGCGTCTGTCTTATCTGATAACAATCCTCTCTCAAAGTCCAAAATGAACAAATCACTGAAGATGGGTATACACAAAATACTCCCATCGGTACATAAAATGGGCATTGGGTGCCACATGTGATGAGCCATACTACTATCTTCTACTTTTATCCTTCTGCACTACTGAAATATTTTTATCATGTACATGCACTTTTTATTTATTTTAATTAAGTAAACTCATATCCCAACACAAGATATTACAAATACGTAAGGACACACAAGCTGAGAAAGCTTGACTAAGTTTACACCTTTACACACCAGTTTATAGTAACAAAGAAAAATTCTTCTCTGGAGGTCTTCAACCATAATTGTTAGTGAAAGGGGTTTTTCCATTCTTGTTTTCAAGCTGCAGTGACTTCACCCCTTAAAAACCTCTTTCATTGTTCTAAAAAGACGTAAAAAGTGGGTGGTACTGGGCTTCAAGGAAACACATTAATTACCCCAAAACCTGCTCCTCACATCAATCATCAATCCAGGAAGAATGTGGAACTCCAGACCTGGAAGCAGCTTCCAAGCCTATGAGGCAGTTCTGGCCTTGGCCAGCCCAGCCCCCATGCCAGGGACCCAAGGGGCCGTATTGGGGGAACAGTTGGTCTTTAAATCTGAAATGACAAACAGTGACATATGCTGATGGATGAATTACACCTGTAGGCAAACACCTTCTAACTGCACTTTGTTCTGCAGCGAACCTCTCAATGGAGTGAAGGAACCAGCCACCACCATGCTTGCTGCCCCCCACCCTGGGTCCAACTTCCTCATCAAAACCCCTCTGGTCTCCTTGGGGACAGATGCCCCCAGGACACGAGCCCTGTGGTGGAAGTAGAGTCAGGAGTGGGGAGGGTCTCTGATTCTCACCTTCCCCTCTCTGGCCCACGTTAACTTAAGTCAGCATTAATTTGGAGCTGCTTTCTAATAGAAATCCCTGAGATTCTACTGAGAAGAGACTGGTTTGGAACTGGGGTGCTCCCTGACCCTTCTCAATTGCAGCAGGGACAGACATTTCAGGGGTCAGGAGAAACAACTGCATTTCTTCCCAAAACAAGATGATAAAAAATGAGGCTACTTCTTTCTTATCCTGGCAGGTCCGAGCTTCCGTTCAAGAGAATCATCCCTTATCACCCAATCAGAAAGGATTTGGGGGTTTTGAGTCTCACTATCCTTAACAGCCAGAAGTGGGGTCTCTGGGGCTTCGGATCAGAATATCCAGAAGTCAGAGCAGAAGCAGAAAAAGAAACCCTGTTACGGTTGAATGAATGAATGAATGAACAAATAAATTAACTCAATCAAATGAAAACCGAGAAGGGGTGGAGGGTGGGGAGCTGGGGTCCTGAGTCGCCTGTGTGCTCTGGTTCGGGTCAGGAAATCAAAAGGACAGGCTGCTACGCCCCCTCCCTAAAATGCCCATCTGAAGAATTCACGCCAGAACAATCCATGAAAGGGCTTTTTCATCATTTGTGGGTCAGCAATAAACCACCTGTGACAAGTTTTAATAATTTTCCCTTTGTACCTGGGAATGTGTGCTTGGGAAAGATGCCAGGTCAGGCTAACGAGCCTTGATTTCTTGTCAGAAGCAGGATACGCAGTAATCGTAAGAGCACGCGTGAATCTGATATCTTTGGTGGCATTCAAGAAGATCAACACTCGGGCTCACAAAGACTGGCCAGTCCGCCCTAATCCAGCCTTTCAAGGCTATGAATGCATCCACAGACCGAAGTATTCTTTACTTAATGAGGAAACTGATTCACTAAGGCACCACTGGGGGCTGGACAGGGAGCAGATAGGAGGAGGGCGGGCCCCACAGGGGCAGGGGTAAACTGAGGC